CCCAGTTTTCACTCCAAGCGGTGCAGCAATGCTCTCCCACTCTTTCTGGTCTTCGACTTCAGTCGGATCTTCCAGTCTGGTCTTTATGTCGTTCATTTTGACGAGCTCACTGATGCGAAACCAGCCAGCCAGACAGGCGGTGAGTTTGTCATGCCGTGGCTTACTTGACACTACAACCAAGACTGAAAATCAATGACTTCCTGTCTTGCCTACTAGCAGTTCGGAGATCGATCCGGACCGCCTTACCGCGCTGAGCTTATCAGCTAGCCTGACTTTTATGCATGGGTTTGACGGTCTTGTGGCGGCACAGTAGCGGACACGGAAGCATCCATCCGGTTCCAGTGTCACATTGTCTGTGGCAGCCGCCAATCCCATATCAGCTGAGGTACTGGTGCAATTTCCTGTTGGAAATCCGATGCTGCGGAAACCAGTTCGTGTCTTGATTCGGAGTCCTGACGCTGATTGCCTGATGTCATACCAGGGTGTGGTGTCTTTTGCCAGAAACCCAATGTCCCCCTGTCGTATCATGATTTACTGAGAGCACCTTTGGGTGTCACCAGAAACACTAAATGAGTTGGCCGGTATTATTTCCAGCTCTATTAGACTTCTCCATGGATGATAAATGTGGCGTGAACTGCGATCGATCAGTTGCAGTCGTTCTTATCAGGCCGACGGCAAGTGTTTGCCCCTTTAGTGCACTGTTTTTATATTGGGTTGGCTGACTTTTTGGGGGTAGATAAGAAAACGCACGTCTTATTTAGAGTCTAATTCGACTTTCGCCTGCAAGAAGTAAGTGAGCTGTGCGATTAGTCAGGTTCGATTCACTGTGACATATTATCAGAAGTTCCGGTGGATTTTAAGAGAATGGGTAAGAGAGGGTGAAAGAGCACATAAAACTGAACGCTAAAGTTGATATACTTGACTGATTTATCGTCAGCCGTCTCAAGACATCACAACCGATCTAGAAAACTGGGAGGTCATCAGTAAGCGGCGAAACAGGGGCGATATTTTATGGATGGTTCAGCTTAGGCGATGGAGTAGAATGACTATCAAAACGAAAAAAAGCTCTCAACCTTATACCTTATCCTAGTGACTGAAACGGATTCACAAATCGCGATCCCGGTGACCCAAGGAACTAAACGGTGCGCAAACAACCACAGTTCTTATTCATATCTCAAAAGAGTGAATAGAGCAAATGGACTGTCCACACGACTGAAACCACAGAATGCGGTTTTCGGTCGCGTGATATGTAGACACACTAACCATGGACATCAGTGGATGGGGTCGACTCACGTCTGATGAATAGACTACTTCAACTTTGAGGATGAATGTAACATTCGAAGCACACCAAAATGTAATGACCGTTGAAAGCTTATTAAGCGATTGTGTAGACGTAATACGCAACCCATAAGGTCGCCGAAAACTCTTCGACAGCCCACAACCAGTTTCACCCTGCTTAGGGCTTACCAGGTAGGCTGTGTCCCTAAGTTTTCGTCAACCATATGTTCTTATTAAACCCAGATTGTACGAAATTATCGAAATACACTCATTTACATACCGATCTGGTCTTGACCGGAGACTCACCTTGAACTCAACTGAAGCCTTGGTTTATGTTCTACCATCAGAACCAAATTGGTGTGCAGATTAGTGTGAGTGAAATTTCGTGGAGGTTGTTTTCAGCCAGTTTAAGATTGACGAAAACTCGAGCCCCAAGAAGGGCTAAACTGGTCTTGGGCCGTCGAAGGATTTTGAGCATCTTGTGTCTGTACAAGGTATCGCGACATCTCGAATATCTAACCAAACCGAGACAGGGGGCGGCCTGATGTAGTACATTCAGCTGCCTAAAAACACCAGAAACGAGAGATTCAGTCGGATTCGAGGTGAGTTCCCCGTCAAAACCAAATTGGTATCCAGATAGGCGCATTATTGAACGACGGTTTTGCAAAAATTTCTGTTATTATTTGCACTGCCGAAACGGTTTCAATTTGAGTCGGATTCGAGTTCCCCGTCAAAACCAAATTGGTATCCAGATAGGCGCATTATTGAACGACGGTTTTGCAAAAATTTCTGTTATTATTTGCACTGCCGAAACGGTTTCAATTTGGCATTTAAGTGTGACAGTTCAGTGATCTGGCAAGTACGATATGTGCAAGAAATTTGTAGGAAAAAGCGAGTACATTCCTAAGGCTACATGGCAGATGAATTAACGGCTCTACGGTGGATTTTATCATTGGGAGCATTTCTGGATGGCAAATTATTGGTATCATTGAAAATTTCGGTGATGCCTCTTTGGTTCGATGAGGGTGAGCAATACAGCAGGTCAAACCCAGAAATCCAGTTGAACTCATCCGGTCAGTCTTACTAACAAAGGTTGTAGCTACCCCATCAACCACATACTTGACTGTTCAGCTCATAGTCGCTCACTGGGTCACGAGACTTGTCTTTTTTTGATGCCCACAAACCACGACACATCACTCATCAGACGTCGATCGCTGTACCGTCTATTGAGCGTAGCAACAACTCGTGCTGACACCCACGTAAACGCAAACGGACCTACATATAAGGAAACTGAACACAGTCAGCACAGACAGACTCACGCGCGCGCAGGGAGCAGAAAGTCAACCACTCTCCACAAGTCCACGAACAATTATGGAACACGTGTAGCAGCCATATTGGGGAGAAATTCCCGCCCTCCGGACCTTCACCAAGGAACTCTCACAGGCGATAAGTGCCTTTTTTGACTTGCTCCCATTTTGCATTGTATTTATTTTTATACATGTGGCCTCTCACCATTGCCAACTATACTAAAATCTTTTATTAGTACATATGCCTTCTGAATCTCATTATGGCGATCATCAACAGTACACTGATACGGTCTCCCTTTAAGAGTCGATCGGCCGTTGGGAGCTAAATTACTCAGTAAGCATCGATATGAGTAAGAAAGCGAGAAAGACTGTGGGTAAACGCAGTCCCTCATGAAATTAGTGATCAATTTTCTGTCATTGAACCTAGTTGAACTTCAGATTCATGTGTTCACGTACTCCTAGAAGAGTGTACAAGCAGCCGAAGCACTAAGGCGGTGTCAGAAGTGAGTAATCAAAACCAAATCAGGACTTTCTGAAAGCGTGTTTCATGGTTGACTTCCATTAAACCTTGCTACTAGTCGATTCAACATCGTCTGTGGTTTTTTGGGTTACCAGGCGGCACAATCTATGTTCTAAACTAAATATGACCTAGGCCCATTGTGTTGCCGATTTGAGAAACAGTTGTTCAGGCAATCAATGCAGTTCTTCTTCGTTTATCTAGTTGTTTTGATTAAAAGGGTAGTTTAAAAAAATCGGCGACTTCGAACAAACATTGGACGGACCATTCGAGGTGTTGCACAGCTAATCGTGTATTGGACTAATCGTGAGCGAAAATATTTGGCCACTCAGTATAGCAGGAAAAAAAGGCTCTGAAATTTGTAATCCACTAGGGATCCATGGTTTTGATTTGGTAAACTGAGGTTTCTTTGGAGTGAGATGAATCTATTTGGACGATTTCCAGTGTCTGAGCAACGATCACAGTCTATCATCTCATTGTGCTTCTTCCGTCTAATGTTCACTTTTCAGTTTTATCACGCAATATTTCAGGCTGAATTGAGAGGGCACTGTTTGTTGGTGGAGATGTCTGTCGTTCTCAGTCGGATACCTCAGCATATCATTTGTGAAAGATAAGTCTGGAAATAATCAGAATCAATATTTCTGTGTGTAGGTTAACCGTGCCACGAAAGCTGCGTTTGCTGTTTCCTGTGTATAGCTACGATAGTTACATCATGACTGAAGCTCTTCAGTATTAGATATTTCATTCGTATTAGTTTGTGGGACAAAGATATGCAAATGGGCACAGGTAGAGCATATTTTAGTCCTAATCATGGTGGCTCCCTTGGTGCTGGATCAATATGTGGGAAGAACAACCTTTCCGTTCCGGACTCAGTGACTGCAACCGAAGTTTACAGAATCCGTGTTTCACCGTCAGATTCGTGCTCAACCGGTAGGTTTCAGTGGAGGATAAACGTGAAATATCCTCAACGAGACAGCTGGAAAGTTGCGAGGTAGCTGTTGGTTCGACTGGTACTGGTACATTTGTGGCCGAATTGCTCAGTTTCTCGGACGGACCAGGAGCTAGCTAGTGTGAAATCAATTTGGGAACTGAATACTCGCTGAACAAAACACTTCGGCTTCCAGAGTTAGTTGTCTACTTCGAATTATAGTTGGTTTGACGAATTCATATATATTACTCGTGCAGTAATACCTCCTTTTAAGAAATATCACGAAATTCCTATTGGCCCTTTGCCTCAGTCTTGGAGGTGATTGTGATATGCACAGATATGCGCTGTTTTTTAGAGATATAAATTCCCTATGGTTGACTTTTTAACGAGGTCAGCTGTCAACGGAAATCGCACGAAGGTGATCCTATAAAAACCGGGGAATCGGTTTGGGTTGGCTAGTCAAATTGTGGGAAACAGTGGCAAGTGAACGTATCGAACTAAGGGAACATAACTTGAATGGTCAGCATTTGATTTTTATTCGTTTGCTTTTGTCGCTAGTCTATTTCGACGTTGGTGCTTCACACCGATGAGCCCACCTACTGTGAGGAGTGGAGATGGAGTTCTGTTTCAGAAATGCGGTAGCAGTTGTGATTTAAAGAGCTACTAGAAATTCGCACGTCTTTTTCATTATTGTTCTGTTTATCATAAAGGAGAAACCTATTTGTCAAAAGTGCACCTAGTGTATCAAGCTAGAGTGCGGGCTGTTTTGTATGACTGTGTGCATTGGTCTGTTTGAGCGGCGGAGCTGAAACATCTTCACATGTTCGACAACTGATGCCTCAGAACCATAGCTCATGTGGGTTGGCGTCGGCGACTCCATAACAATTCATTTAGAAAGCGCACATTCGGCTGCGCAACGGGGAACTCCATTGAAGAATGGGTCCAGCACCAGAAACTGCGTCGGTCGTTGTCATATTTTATGGAAAAAACTGATATTGATGATGGCGTGATGAACAGCAGACTGAATTTCCACAGTCCGGATTTCGAAAGCTGCATAGGTGTCCTCAAATTGGCTCTCCTCCTCCCCTCCTGAAAACTGGCGCGCATGCTGTCTGAGAAATAAAGACGTAAAAGGAAACTTTAAACTTTGTATCAACGTTACTTGATGGATATCTGAATTCGCACGACAGTTGAGATATTCAGGGAAAAATGTCCGGTATTGATAGGTTTTACGATAGAGATTGCAGGTTCTGTTACCCGTAAATTTTTCAAGGTGTTGTCACCTACAACTGCAACCGAATTTGTAAATGTTCACTGGTACGTGTTGGCTTCTGACACAGCACGTTTTAAAACAGTACGTCACGTGATGAACAAAATTTTCAAGGAGGCGAGGTTACGGTTGTTTGCTCTTCTTAATGTCATGCTCTTGATTTTCTCCAGATAATTGAACAAACCAGGTAGTCTTCGCTGTTATTCACGGGCCCGCTTCGGACTGCGCTTTCAAAATAACTAGAGAAAAAGTGATCAAGAATTATTCATTAGTTGGAGGAATTTGTGTTAGTTTACAGCTGAAAATTCAGAACGTCTGTGTTAATAATAGATGACGTTTACTTGGCTGCGTAACACCGAGTAGAGATGCTTTGCCTAATCGATAAGAATCACCGAACTTAACAGCCAACTGTTGGACTGACCACACTGACTGTGACTGGGCGGATAACCGACTAATTATTTTTTCATTGTCGACCCTCCGAATGTTAGGACACTCTGAGGACACTTGAGTTGACACACATTTCCCACTGGTTGCGATTGGTTGCCTTGGTTTCGGCTACTGGCCGGAGTAAATTCGTGTACATTCACCCAGAGGTTGGCTGATTCTCAAACCATTGAGCGGATGCACCTGGCACTGTAAACGCACCCCACTGTCATGGTGCTAACATTTCCGTATTTGGTCAAGACTCAGACCCCTTTAGAACGAATTATTCATGTACTAATTTGGTTGCTAGTTGAGCATAATTGAGGCCAGCGACTAATCGTGCATCGAGTTGGGTTGATGCTCAGACACAACAGGTATAGGGTTCGAGCCAAAATGGTGGGTTTGCATACGGCAGTATTTCTTATTCACCTTAATCTTGCATCAGGTGTGTTATTGATAGTATTGTCGCCACACTACGTACCTAACACTGAAGGTACGCCAACGATTACCACAACTTAGAACATTCAACCTATATGTTGAATGTACTGGTATTCAGTAACACTTACTGAGATAATGCATTTTGGGTTGTTGTGTCGTGGGGTAGTCCGTTGTTTACGCCTGAATGGGGCCTGCCACAAGAGAAGACAAGAACCATGAGTACGGCAGTATTGTCAGGTCAGGTCAAAATATGTAGAGCTGGTGCGTGAGTACATAGGATGGCTGAATGGCCACTAGCTTTGCGACATTTGGAAATCAATTTGGTTTTCACGAGAGATTCAAGTGAATCCCTCGTTTAGGATGTTCTTCAGCTGAATGTGCTGCCCCAACGCCGCCTTATGTTTCAGTTGGTTCTCGTTGTGTACGTCCTTATCCACCCAATGGCGATGTTCCTGCCGCGAGCATTTTCACAACCGAGAGATTCAATGAATCCCTCGTTTAGGATGTTCTTCAGCTGAATGTGCTGCACCAACGCCGCCTTATGTTTCAGTTGGTTCTCGTTGTGTACGTCCTTATCCACCCAATGGCGATGTTCCTGCCGCGAGCATTTTCACAACCGCTCTGCTGGCCTCATGCTGCTAAGTCACGTTTTCTAAGCTCCGCTGTACCATCTACAATCCAGAAAGTGCGGTGACCTTAGTGACGCACGCGCACTTTTAGGGCCTGGACGCGCCGTGACAACTGCAGAAGAGTTAACTAAAGCGGAACAAGCTCGCAACAGCAGCAATTTCACTTGGTGCCGGCATCTGAATCTGAGGCGTATACCGAGATCCGATAGACTGCCAATTTATAATGATCAGTTCGTCTTACGTTAACCTATGGGATACCACGTAATCGTAATTTACTCATCGTAAGGCGGAGTTAAACATTTATAGTGGAGTATTACTGAGCAGGATTCACTGCCGTAAACTCTTAGAGAGAGTGAATTTGCGTGGCACCCAGCGACAAAATATTCTCCCCTCTACATTCACTATTGCAATTGAAGGGTGCCCGAAATGAGACGCGCATGGTCTGCGGAAGTGCCTCAGCAAACAGCATACGGAAGTTTCTTTGGTTTTATTCATTTTCGATGAAATTGTGACCCTTAGATTGATGACTATTAGCTCAAGATTAGCTCTGCAGTGTTCCGTGACGCCTTTTCAGCTGAATCATTCCTGATGAACTAAGAATGTCACCGTAGTTAAAAAGGGATTGGTTGCCGCACTACTCTCCGCACTCCCCGACTTCGAAAAGATGGTCCTGACTGGAGATTGGCAGGGCCAAAATTATGAAAATTTTCGGGTTTTTTTTACGTAGACTGCCATTTTGCCCATCAGTCCGATGGTAAATTTCGCGTGACCAGGACACAGCTGTTCAATTGAGGGAGTCCCTTTCCGAGAGTGGACAAACTAAGGGGATCATTCGATACAACTTGACATCCCCAACCGAATAATTCAGTAGAAAGGTAGAGCCATGCACCAAATCAGGCGTACCTGAACATTCGTTTCTGATTTTTTATTCTATATTCCCAAAGGATAATCTGCTTGGAATTTTCCCAACTTATAGTCTTTAGTTCTACATTTCACTGCCTTGCTACTGCCTATACGGCGAATTAGAATTGCAGCACAATAAGCGATATTGCGTCGTTTCTTATTACCAAGATTGTCCTATAGATCTCTTAGAAGTTTACTGAAACATGCGATGTGCTGGGGTACAAGGGGACAGTGCTTAACAATCTGAGGGTAAACTAGCTCGTGGTAAGTTGGACTACGAGAAGTCAACAGCGACGAATTGGGACCATATAGTTCGTGACTCCGCGTGACTCGAGAAACTGGTTTGGCACGCCCCGATAAAGCTAAACTAGATGCAGATCTCCTCTTCATTAACTGGTCCTCTGAAAGACACGCCTAGAAAAATCCAGTGGTTGTTTGTCTGGTAAAGATAGTCAGGTTATGGTACACTCAGATGCAGATGAAACCTGTGGACTCCGGATGAGGGGTAATGGTACCTTATGTCCTATTTCTACAACCTTACCATTGATTGAACGCTCCATTTCGTGAAAAGCAGGGGATTCTACAGTGGAAAAATTGTGACCGACTAAGGCCGAATTATCCTCCTTATAAGGGGTATCAATATAAGCGTTCCTACCTCTATAGTTCAAAGGTGGTCTCGAGCAGTAACAAGATATAACTATCTGAACGGTTCTCTATCAAACCTGGGTGACCTAATGAGCCACAAGCGTTCTTATCAAAAGTAACTGATGTCTATGTACCTGCATGCTATGGTCGACCTGGTCCGGGAGTAGTCATAATGTAGTAAGAAAAATCACCGATCTAAAGAAGTCACTGTTTGACCCAGGAAGAGATTATAGACGAACTGAAAAAAGTTCTTAGCTTTAGTGTTCGCTCTAGAACGATTTCCATTGAATGCTTTCAACATAAAAATGTTTTCACGCTTGCTGACTACATTAGTCAACATAGTAAGCAAGCCACTAAATGACGCGCCAAAAGGTTTGCAGACATCTTCTTAGAACTATGAGGTACGATTTTGAGTTGGCCTATCAACCGGGGACATAGATGTGCATTACTGTTACACCGTCTAGAGCTTAGATCCGGATGTACTGACACTGCGAGAATCGCTCCGCTTTGTTACGAACAAAATAGTGAAATCCCACACAGACGAAGAGAAACCTTTCTGCAAAAATAATTATTTGCGTCTTGTGTTCCCGCTACATTCGCTTCAGCATTTCACACGCCCTGTGTATATGATGCCCGACCATGTGTACGGGCAAATTCTTCAAACTGTGAATGATTGATTTTATCTATATGAAAGGCCTCTGAAAAATGAGTAAAACCAACATGCCCTCACTCTAGTTTGTCCTTCTACCGGATTATGTCAGTAAAACCTGAATAAATAAATGATGGCAACCCGCTAACTCTGCTAGCGACGAGTAGTTATCGTATTGTCTGAGATGGTTTGTTTCATGGGAGAGGGATGACCTTCCACGGGAAACTGAAAGGTAGAGACGCTAACAAACGGGAACCATTGCTAGGTAGTTTTCATCTGTTCAGGAATGAAGTATCTAACGGCCCCTGAGAGAGGCCGTTGCGCACAATCCAGTCCGTGTACATCTGAATGATATAACCCAACGTAGTTTCTGCTCATGAACGCGTTTTTTCTACTAAAAAAACCGTGATCAATGGTCACAAGGAGCTGAAGGTAGAAGTACACTGAAGGATTTCACCTCGTGACTGATTTGATTAGGGTGAAACCGATAGTATTTACGAGCTTCGAAAGACCAATCATGACATTGGCATGCATCCTAGTTCAAATCGAAGTGTGCGGTTTGTTAGTTGTGATAGGTCACAGACTACCGAACAAGGCCATTATCGAAGAAAAGAAAAAGCATCATTTGTCCATGTTTGCGCCCCATGACCCCTTCCCATAAACCAAAATGACGTCAACTTTCCGAGGGACTTGGACTTAACAACGGCGCACTGTCTCCCACAACGCCGATGAAAAGAGCAACACCCAGTAAACACACGTGAGTTGCTCAAATTTTGATGAAATTTTAATAACGCCGTTGGACCTTTCAGTTCGGATCATGGACTGAATTTGTGCTCGCCTGAATACCAAACACCGTACGAGCCGGATAAGAAACCTTCTTGACGCGATCTTACGGCTGCGGAGCAAGACAACTAATGACATGCCATATGCCACTAGAAATTTTGCTGTCAGAGACCGTGTTCTAACCAGCTCCGTAACGGCCCCGAAGATACAACGCCTATCCACGATAACCCAGTGGGTCTGTCAAAAGCATGTGTTATTACCTGATATCCACATGGGGATTACTCATTACGAAAAACGAACCCAGTGTTCAGCAAGCTTCCCAATGCTCAACCATGGTTTCCTATAAAAACTATCTCGAATACCGTACCAAGCAGAATACTAAATGAGCTAGTCAGATGTTCCTTGAAATGGTTTCCTGTGAGAAAGAATCAGTGTGCTGGTTTGTCAGAACACTAGGTAAATGATGCTTAGCATTTTTCGACATGACTAACGTAGAAGTAAAGAGTAAGACAGGTTTTTGGCCATGGTCCAACTTTGATCAACACACTCAACAGCTTGGACGGGATCCGAAAAATGCCTAAAAAGTGCGCTTTGTCGAGATATGGCGGTATCTACTACATAATGAGGTCATGGATGGCCCTGAAGCAGGTCTATCTCTGCAGGAGTTTTGTACCAGATAACATCGTTATCTTACAAGACCTCTACTACTCAAAGATAAATAGGGTTTTATGGAAAATTGATCCATTTGCTCAACTTCTCATACTTGTTTGAGATTCTAGACAGCCTTTTGTGACATTAACACGTTTGATGTGCGCCACAGTGACAAAAAGTTTTAGGACCGATTAGTTAGGCAAGCGAACGACCAGTGACCATAGTGAAAAACACCATGAGGAAGCTAGGCGACGCATGTCATCACCAAACTACACTGTTATATGCAGTTGTTCTGCGCTGCACTCGAGGAGGTCGAGTGAAAGAAAGAGGTTAAATAAAGTTCGTGATGGATGATCATCTCTCTTTTTGAATCCATCCTCGACCTAGCTATGCGTTGGGACCCCACGTATCCGTCTCCAACTACCAACGGCCACGTGCGGTGTTCCTGTGGGAAAACTAAAGTGCACTAGGGGTCAGCCCAACTGTAGCGAATAGAACAGATACGCCGTTTCTCTGGTCATCTAACTCACCGTGTTGTTCAACCTACTTTAAACTTTTGATTGGGTTGTTGCTAGCCTGCAGCGCAATATGGTGGAGGAACATAATGTGGTACGGTGGCTCGTTTGAAGCCACTGAATGCACAAATTTACAACACAGGCACGACCGAAACTCTCTCCTTTCCTTGAGTTCACTAGCCAGCACATAATCGAAAGAAAAGATCGGACTTCCGTGATTCTGCCTTCACGACAGTGGTATTTAAGCTGTCTTTTGTACCACTTTGTTAATAACGCATTCAAGCTACATATGTGTCGCAGCTGAATAGATCAAGTGTCAACCTTTCAGGACAAACCTTCTGTCTGTCCGTGCGAATAAAGTGGGCCAACGAATTAGCGAGACGGTGTTTTGAACGCTGTAAACTCATTGGTCCATCTCTCTGAAGCGTCGGCAACAGCTACTGGGCTTTAACAAACCAATGTCCAGTGTACAGGGTTAGCGTATCCCGATATACTGCTGAAGCTGACTTTATCTGGTCCCGTGCTGGTGCCGAGTGGTAGATATTGCTACTACCATCCACCATCGATAATCTAATTCCACATGACTCCATCTTGCACGGCTTTTTGTACATTACCTTGAAAATCACGACACAGATCAAGTAGCAGGTTCATAAATATTTCAGCAAAGAGCTGAAAATCAACGAGGAAATGCGGTAAAGCTCCAGGTTTAGATAGATAACGCATTTGTTCCCATACGGGAATGTGAATGGAATTCGGGACACCAACGGTTCGGTTGGCAGAGCAATCACCTAAGATGGTATCCCCAGTGAAGTGAGCAGATTTCAACACGATGGTAATGCTTGTACTTATTCTACACGCAACCGGCTCTGCAAGGTATTCTCGATCGTACAAGAGTTGGAGCAGTCCATCGGAAAAGAAAACAACGATAATCCATGTGGATTATAACCTCTAATTGGAACTGATTTTCGAGAAATAAACAGCATAAACCAATTAAAATAATATTTTAGCTACATCTAAGTCTCTTTTTATACACAAGTAAAAAATGTACAAAGGAAGGACCAATGGCGCAGCACTGGAACCGGGCTATCGCAAGTTTGTAGAAACACCGAGTCTGTGGGTACATATGAGGAAGGTAACTTAAGATCGTAAAGCAGGCCAGGTGAAAGACGGTAGTTTGGGTGTCATATGAGGTAGACCTTTGAGGGTCACAGTGTTTCGATCTTATGCTTGGCTAAGGGGATGGCGAGTCCTTGGGACTCATCGGCGATGACCTCATGAGGAGTGTTATGAAAGGTATACACAACATGGAGCTGCCGTAAAACGCCTTTCTGTCCCGGTAGTCGAACGATTCCAACACATGGGTCGTAGAAACCTTGGATGTCTGACCAACGCCCGGGAGGAAGGCGTAGTTGATTTTGTTCAACGAGAGCTTGGAGTGGAATAGTGACATCGAAATTCAGCGGACCACCTGCGTCCGACAATTTCTGCTCACTGTCCACAGGTGGGATGTAACCGAAAGTGGCCTGCACGATTACCAAGCCACCTACAGCGGCTTCAGATTCACGAATGCGGTTCGCAGTATGCTTCATGAGTTCTTGAGTTGAGAGAGCTTCGCGTCTGCGACGAATTAATTCATTTCGAAGCTTTGCCCGACGAGAAACTTGTGCCCTCTCAAGTTGCCGATTCAGATAGGGTTCGTAGACAAGGGTTCGAAACGCAGCAAAAAGTAGGAGAGGGACTACGAACCCGTAACCTGCGGCGACACGGTTAGGTTGCTCCGAAAGGATAATTGGAAGTGAATAGCTCTGCGTGCCTCGTAACAGGCTGATACGTAAGTTTACTCCACGTTGAAAGCTAAAGGAAAGGGATCCAGATAGACGGGAATAAAGTGAAACTGAGCACTGTGCACCGACAGTGAGTTCAACCAAGTCGACCGTGTTTACATCGACCGAGCCGAAAATTCGACCGTGTTTGCCGGAATGAATTTCTAGTTCCTCTTCATCGTCTTTTGCCCAATCAGGAGTCGAATTCCAAGAATGGGTCTCTTCCCCTTTTCCAGCACCGGATCCACGGGGTGGGTTGAGCCACGACCATAAAACGGTTTTCTCTAGTCGCAGTGCCACTCCAGCCCTACCTATGGCACTTAGTCGCGTGGACAGACGGACGGCATATTCATCGCCCTCGGAAGACCACAAGACTTCTGCAGATAGGCCAGGATCCAGGTTCCACCGCCATTCGATACGTGCCTGAGTACGCGGCAAAAGTTGAATATGCCAACCAGTGGAGATCCCGGGGATGAGTGAAATCCGTGATTGCGCCTGACTGCCAGCAGAATTCAAACTGAAACCCAGATTTCCAACGAAACGATCACCAAAAGCTCGTCGTAATCGAACGCCAGCACCAAGTCCGCGACCACCACGACCGTAAGAAACCTGAAATAAGTAAGAAAAATGTTCAGGTTCAAAATGCGGTGTACGCAAACAACCATGTGTTGATACTGGCACCCGGAGTTTCGGTTCAGGGAACATGCCACTGACATCCTATACGTTAAATAATGCCTTCATAATTATGTTAATAAAAAAGCACGGCAGTAAACAGCAAGCATAAGTACGTAAGGTGCAACACGCCAGTTTATGTGGTGGGATTTGTATGAATGTGCCATCAACCTCCACCCCCCTCCAAAAGGAATATTGAGATTCACAGTAGTTTAGCTACCATAAAATGGTAAAACTAGATCTAAAAACCGTATCTTCGAATAACCTGTGACGGAAGAGAATCCAAGCAGGCAGAGCGAAGTCGGAGCTAGTACTGGTGATATGGAACGTCAATTCAGAAGAAATACGCATATATTGACGGGAGATACTCGCCTGCAACGAGTAGCCTACTTGGGGTATGGAGAGCAAAACAGAACCAAGCAGCTAGTAACCACGCGTGTGCAGAAACGGCCACAAATGACCAGAAAGCCACGAGACCAAATAAACGAACATCAGTCATGTGGGACATCCGACCTCAATCCTAACTTTTCTACCATGGCAAAACCATGCTTTCATTCTAAGCAGGTTGTCGAAACACCAGCATGTTCACCGGGAGCGTACGATGGTGGTTTCTGTAAACTGAAGCAGTCTTTGACAACCACTTTGCGGGACTGTTTGCCGACTAGTGAAGTGGCTGCAATTCTAGGACCTTAAAAAGACCAATAACAGGGAAGTACACCAAGACTCACTATTCCTTGAAGTCTCTGAATGAGCGTAGCTACACTGTTGATGTAGAAAACGGGTTTTGACCAGAAAAAGACAGCTAGAAGGTAGATGGAGTAGCTCCCTGTTGTTTACACTAAGAATATAAAGACAAACCGGAAGGTCAAGTATGAAAACCTCATGTGGCGCGAATACGTCGGATTATACCAGTCTGCTCTTTCAAGATGCTATGCACAGGTATGCAAGCTGGATACTTGGCATAATGTTGTAAAAGGACGTCCTTTGTTGTGGCCTGCTGAGTCATGTGGGACATCCGACCTCAATCCTAACTTTTCTACCATGGCAAAACCATGCTTTCATTCTAAGCAGGTTGTCGAAACACCAGCATGTTCACCGGGAGCGTACGATGGTGGTTTCTGTAAACTGAAGCAGTCTTTGACAACCACTTTGCGGGACTGTTTGCCGACTAGTGAAGTGGCTGCAATTCTAGGACCTTAAAAAGACCAATAACAGGGAAGTACACCAAGACTCACTATTCCTTGAAGTCTCTGAATGAGCGTAGCTACACTGTTGATGTAGAAAACGGGTTTTGACCAGAAAAAGACAGCTAGAAGGTAGATGGAGTAGCTCCCTGTTGTTTACACTAAGAATACATTGAGAAGGAACTAAGAACTCATTCGAATATCACAAGCAGGGACAACATTATCGGTGCGTTTTGCAAGCCGAATCAGCCTAGGCAGGTATCCTAGCCTGGGGACTCGAGTCTGTCGGCGCATATTCATACACTACATCCCAAAACCTTTTAACGGCGGAATACACTCATTGGTGATACAGGCACTCAAATGAATCTAAGCTGAGTCCCTCGTCTCTGATATTCGTCATGTGGACGTGCCGCATAAAAGGAGCCTCATATTTCTGTACGGTATACAAGATTTCGAAATATATTTCCTTGACAGGACATTCTACTGGTGCTGCTAAAAACTTTTCACCAACTGCGTACACAAAATGGTGTTCAATTAGAACCTGAGGTTGACTGAAATTCGAGGTCTACATCTATCTGATGAACTCCGGGACAACATTAGAAGTAGCGTGTCCTGTCAAAGGATGCATCTTATCTTCTCGGGTGCCACTGTTCTTCATCGCCCTGGACCACCGAAGAGGGCAAAGATGACTGTTTATTGGAAGCCGTCAGCCCTGAGGTTGGGTGTAACTCCAGCAGATCTCCAGTCACTGCTTCGCAATCAGTCTATGGCCGAAGGCTGGGAGGTAAAAAATCAGGGTTTGCGTTGGTAGGTTAGGGATGAAAGACTAAGGGGAGTTTTTTATGCGTTTTCTGCAAACATCAAAGGAGCGTAGGGCCTAACAAAGAAATCTTTTTGGCGAATATGATAGAGGATGTAGATGGTCGGACCCGTGTAGTTGTCAATAAAACGGGTTCCAAAATTGTTTGACGGGTTAGAGCGCGAATCTACCAACTGGAAGGTCCGTTGTTTTAACCCAAACTCTGCCTTTCGACTTCACCTGTCTAAGCTTGGGCAACCTGACAGTATCCCAGTCCCCGTGCTTCCTTTGGCTGGCATGGCAGCTGGGAGCCGAGATGGTGTTACGGCTGAACGATTATCTTTTATTGTTAATCCGAAAAATAGTAAATGAGCTAAATTTGTCGACATACTACGGTTTGGCAAGCAAACAAAACATTCCATGTTGACGCCGAAACATTGCCCCACCTGGATCGATAATAGGTGTCAAAGCATTCAATGAAGTGACTTTTCTACGGATTGAACAGACTGACTAAGTGTTATGGCATATAGTTGTCCGTGGTAGGTGCTACAACAATATGGTCGGTTCGGACAAACGAGGCTCACTTCAGAATCAATCGTTGTAAAACTGAGTAGAGATCGCTTGCCACAGTGATGTCGCCACATCAGCATCCAAGTACCAACTCCAAGCCCGTTGTGCGCAGTAACCTGTCCAGCTAGTGTGACCGCATTCCGTGTTGTCAGCCCTGCTGTAACTGACTGGGCAAGGGTGAGTTGGTTCACAGAGGGCTTCGGTCGGACTGTACGTTCTTCGATAGGCTCCTAGGGAAATTTAACGAAGCAGCAACGGTGATGTGAGCAGATGTGAGAACACAGTGGACTGAACAGCTGTCCGTATGGAAAATTCGCAAACTGTAAAAAGGATAGATTGGCATCTTGAATGCCCTAGACGTACATGCCATACCTGCTCCGATCAGGATGTGCTCAACACAATACACAGGTAGAAAGTCGGATAGCTTAGACCGCATGTGAACTACACTCAGAACGACCAACTTTACACCTCCGGAGGGCCTTGAACAAGTACTTGCGGTTTATGAACTGCCGAAACGTAGTTTTCGTGCAGTTCCACAACTTTTTGCGGTCCCGGTTTACCTCGTACAATCAATGGCCTATTCGTGATAAAATATCCAGCTTTTAGGAGAACCTATGGTGGAAAAAATGCTGAAGCCAATAGGCTCAGCTCCACACTATGCACCAGATAAGTTGAGTTTATCATCCATGAGACAGATGAAATCGCGATAAATAAATATGGTGGTACACACACTAATACAATCAGATCAGCAAACTCACCTCCAAATATCGGTCAAACACGTCAGTAAGGTCAAGACCCAAAGCAAATTCAGATGAAGGTTGTGTAAGCTGGAGTTGCTTTTCGGCCTTGGCCTTCTGTTTCAGCATCAGATACTCTAGGCGCATCTCTGGTGCGGATTTCTCGCATCCTGTTATCTCCCAGCCTTGAACCTGCAGACCTAGAAAATAAAAAGGAACGAGTTACCAAGATCAGATACCATAGGAAGAAACAGCGTGCAGTACATCAGACGTCGTTGAAGATACTATCGCGATTAACGCGTTGGTGTTACAAGCAACCTTTTTTGAACCGATTAGCAACCAATTCCGTGCCAGTTCCATATTCCATATTACGACGATGACTAAAAGTTTGAGATTGTAATGGCTTATCAATCAACAAGACACGAGTACACGTCTGATATGAGAAACAATTGCTTAACAGGGATGGGAGGGTTCCATTCGGACGAAGGATGGTCCGTTCGGACTAGGGAATAAGGTTTGAGTCTCTCTGAACTTGTACTGTTTGAATGTCTTAGTTGGATGCTTGCAAGTACCGATATATATGAGCTTCATTGCCTGTTCCTCTGAATTCTAAATGAGAGTTGGTGATAATAGATTTACTGTGCATCCGAACAGAACCCTAAGCAACATCACTACAAACTGTATTTCCCGAGTGTTGACGGCATGAAACGGTAGTGACGATAATTGAGAGGAATCTCGGAAAATCCGAACAAGCTGCAAGGCACGTTCTGCCATCCTAAGCACGCTTTTGTCGGTGATTCGACGGCATTGACGCTGTTAGCCCATATGTGGATAGACGTTACTCAATGTTAAAGGGATTAACTAAGAACTGGATCTTTTCATGCTTTTAGCCACGCATGTTCACTTTAGCAAACCAATATCTGGTATTCACTAATCTACAATGGCCCAATTCCTCACTGTTTCATCAGCCGTTTGTGAATACCAACGGAAAGTTTGATGCTCTTAATTCAGCCTCTCTGAATTCGCACACCGGTCCACAAGGAGAACACTTCCCAAAAAGATAACGAACTACTAAGCAATAATAAACTTATGAACTGGGCAGGGTGTCTATATTGTTTGACAATCTCGCTTCCGAACACTAGTCCCCTTACATCCATGCGCATCTGTGGCTGAAGGCTAGAGAGATAGACTTAATCTAACAGTCCATCCCCTTATCCCGATTGGCATTCTAGAAGTTTATGTGGTCGTGTGGCTATTTTGTTGTTACGGCTCCAACGAAAACACAGCAGAGCACGCATCTAATTCACAGCGATAACGGACAACTTGACTGAGCATGCATGATCAGTGTTCCCGCTGTGTCCAGCAAGGATGCACGTTTTCCATCGACATGGACGTACATTTGTTGCTGTGCGGATAAGAGGTTAAATGAACCGTTATCGGTCGACCCAGTATGCAAGAGCTCTCTTGTTTTGCTCTGCATAAAATAGCTATTTCATAGACATATTTGTTTCACAACCGACGCCACAGTACTATTCAGTCGGATGGAGATAATGCGGGTTTGATTGTACTGTCTTGATTTTCGGTCCCAGTAGCTTCCCTACTCCCATGTGAGTGTCCTATGTGTATCAATCTCAGGAGGGAAATATCTGGACCTCACTACGGTGGTTCATTTTGCATGACAAGAACCAACCTGTGAACCATGTGTATAAGCATTGCGATTGGCTTTTCTGCTCTTGAAGTAAAAAATCCTTCACTGAAGCTGAAACGATGTAGTTGGATCTGCATAGCAATATAATGCCTAGAACACTTACCTTCATGGCCGTAAGCATCGTAAATTCTACGCTTCGCTGGATCACTTAGAACTGCATAGGCAGTAGATACGCGTCCGAAAGCAGCTTCAGCATCTGCAACGACCAACCGGTTTGGAACTGAATTGCTGTCACCCGTGGAAGATGATGTGTGTCGATCCGGATGAAGCAGCAGACTGAGTCGTTTGTACGCGGTACGGATCGTCGCGATGTCAGCATCTCTCGGTACACCCAAAACAGAATACAAATCCGGAGAGTCATTTGTACCGCCTTCCAGGCTATCGACCACATCAAAAAAGCTCGGGTCCAGGGGGTCGTCCGGGTCTTCCACAGGACCCGCTTCCAAGGGATTCTCTAGCAGAAATGGATCGCTGTTCACATCAGGACTGGTTTGGGCAGTAACAGTCATGGACGGGCGGGAAGAACAGCTAAAACGAGACCCAAGTAAGTAGTGACCATCTTACAGAAAGATCAACTCACGAGAAACAGCTGAAGTCAGGGACGATAACAGAACGAGTAGGAAATAATCAAAACGACCTACGTCATAAGGAAAGATAACGAGAACACATGCTAACACAAGTTGGAAAGAGTAAAATGAACGATTGAACATGATCGGGAGAAGTATGGATTCTTCCAATAATTGATAAAAAGAAATACGGTACCGGTACTGATAAAGACTGGGCGTCAACAAATGCGAGATGAAACGCACCGCAGTGTATCAAGACTGTATTATCACACATTTTAAAGTTTGTTGCGCCTGTCTTCCAGGACAGATGTGCTTCGGCTGGTTCCCTGAAGTTATTTCAGAGATTTGATTCCTTCCAGAACAGAATACCAGTTTCAGTTAGTCTCTCGGAGAGTGTAGAACTGTACATTATAAGATAGTGCACTGTGCGCTTTCAGATTCGTTTATGAATCCCTGAGTGCTTCATAGTCAGGCTGCTAGAGGGAAGTGAACAATCCCACCCAATAGGAAAATCACAGCCAGTCTGAGATCGAGTAATCAAAACCGACTATGAACGTTCCTTACAAGAAAGTCTAGATAACACACGCAGCAAAACAGTAAGACTTTACAGCCTTGAGGTGAGGAATAAATTGTTCAATAAAGGTAATTCTTCGGAAACATTTAATGCTCCTCCAGGAGGTAAAGTTACGTACAGTTGTCTGATAGTCTATCAGTAAGTGTTGGGATTCAGGTCCATCCAATTGGCTTTGGCCGCTTTATCCACTACCACTGACTTTTTGCAAAGCAACACGGTTATATACTGCACTAGCCTGAGTCAAACAGAAAGCTTCCTGGACGGAAAATTTGAGCAACGACTAGACTACCCATCAAACACTGACCCGTGAGGGTTAAACGAGTGCCTTAATGATAATCCAGTTTTTTACAGAGCACGATAATCACCAAACGGAATTATGGTACGCACGAGCTGTGTAAAGAAGCATCTACATGCGCTGGATTCGTATATTTCCACGTAATATCAAGCATCGGATTTGCGCAAGAAAGAGGCGAGCTTCGCTGCTTGGCGTAGGTAGAAGGCAAAGTCAAACAAACACTTACATTTATCGGTGAAGAAAATAATTGTGGTCTGTTAAATGTAGAGGTACGGGTCAGTTGATGAGAGGTTGCATATATGGTTTCCGGGTTGTTTACTTAGGTAACGACTAAGCAACACTTACTGAGAACTATGCAACAGGAAAATAAGATGGGATTTGCTTCCGTGTGCCGCAGGTTTTCAAGCAACCTAATAGAATAGTCTTCAAGCAGTGAAGTGCAGTACACGAGATGATCATGCTGTGATCCGTTTTTCACGAGCGGCCTATCGTTGTACTGACCCATCGTCCGCAGATGGATGAAAACTAAGCTATAGATATCATACGCATCTTTATTACAGTGGGTGCTTCGCACGGGTCTATTGATGATAAATCTGAAGTCGGGTGTCACAGTATGTTCCACTGTACTGTTTTCTGGGACCAGCATTACACTCTGGACATGCTCTGCCACCGACGACTTCATTTTGTATTGCTTTGTTACGGATACAATGTAACAAATTTCAATGAGTTCACTTTCTGAAGGTGGTGTGACCGCATAGGTCAACGTGTGAGGAGATTAGCACCCAAAAAGCAGTCAAAGTTTCAAATCTGAATGATGGTCTCCATATTAGCCCTTCGTTCAGCTCTGCATGGTGCTGCAGAATTTTGCGATAGAACATGATTTGCAGTAAGATTCGCAATAAGACTTCAGAAGTTGGAGCCAAAGAACCTCCTGTATGTTGTGAAGGCATTTCATAGCATCGAAACTAATTGGAGTGGAACCCAGAGAGACGACTGTTTTATCTTCATCGAGAACAGCAAGTGCGTCTTGTGCTCCATAGACCGGAGCCGACAACTTTGACACCACGGAAACTTCCCCATATGTTTTACCATCAAACCAAAGTGCCCGGTCAAACCGGTACATCTAAATGCCTACAAGCTACGTGACAACAAAAATCTAGTTCAACAAAGATGTATAACACGGTAAAACTACGCACCGGAGGCCCTAAAGTCAGCTGGCCAAACCAGCACAACTGGTGGCCTTTCTAAAGAGATCTCGGAGTCATTCACCAAGCGCATCACAAAACTGACCAGTAAGATCAACAACAACCGCGAGTCCAAGAAAAAAGGGTACTACATCGGGTATTCTGGCTTCACATCGTTTCACGTTCCATTGGATAATCACTTAGACGCCACAACCTGATCTATTAGCACATGAGTATACCTTTGGCTCCGTTACGTTTAACATGAACCACTGGTGGGCATAAACGTTAACGTATCTATGAAAAACAGACAGAATAAAAGCCCTTGGATGGATGTGAGGTGACTTGAGTTTCACACGCGGTGATTTCGATCCCGAACCAGTATTCACTCATGGGTCACTAGTTTGATGAGCGGCTATTAATATATCCGATGCGGAACGCAGGTCCGTTGGTGTGGCAGTCTGGAATTAAAGTAAAACTCAATAAAGGATACCTCGTCATTTCACGCTAGTTCAAGGTTATTAATTCGGATATATTAATAGCCGCTCATCAAACTAGTGACCCATGAGTGAATACTGGTTAACACATTCGGCCACTGATATGCAAACCACTGCCTTTATTGTAAAAACTTAGCACACTAAAAAGAACAAGTTAGAGATCAGTACCGGAATACATCCGCCAAGAGACATGTTTTTACGTCAGCTTGAAGTACGTTGGGACGCTTCATCTAACTAGCGGAGACCCTTGTCGTTGGTCTGAGTAAGGGGATATTAAAAGGCGAGGCTCCGGTAGAAGAATGAGTGATTACAATTTAGTTATGGTATACCGTTTATGCGGTGGTGACCTAGTGAGTTTCCATGTACTCCACAGTTTGCATCACAGCTATACACCGAAAGTAAGCCGAATTTGTTTTTTTCGAGTCGCAGTAAAAAACTGCAAAGTCAGCAGCAGTCAGAAAAGATGAATCTTATAGCGAAAGTATATATATAATGTATATATATATATATATATGTATCTGATCGAGCTACTCGTTACTTTGTTACAGACTAGTTTTGAGGACGCTAGAAATTTCGGACAGTTTCCACAGCAACACCAAAGAAACATGTTGGATGGCTTCCAAACCCCATTTGGCTTTCTTGCAAGTTTCGGGATTCTCTGTACATGACATCTGGGAGTTGAGGCGATCGGCGACAAGCCTTGTTGATGTTTGTCTTTCACTTCTACAGTCACCGATTTGACCCACGAGCTACCACTGGCACCTATATTTGAGATTAAATTTACCACTCACATCCAGAGACCGCTAAATAGGCTTGGAAGATGAATAACTGGACGCTGTCACCGCAACGCTCCTTTGTACACATCCTTTCCAATCCACATAGTTTAAAGGACCAACACCTGAGGTCATTGGGGGAATAGTTGCACTGGGAGAGCACTGTGGTGGATAGATTGTCGCATAAAAATGGCACGCACAACCACGATGCTTCGCTATAAGGGTGTTTGGACCAAATTATTCTGTAACCCTGATACTGTACACGCTGTACACGCGCTAATCAGCTCCGAACAAAGCGATCCTGTGTAGTTTTAGCTGTCCTTTAGCTGCAGTCCCAATGCTAACCTAACATGCGCTGGTAGCGAGGTCTCAAGGCTGTCAAGCAAACGTCCGTATGATAGATGTGATTTCCATAGACAAACTAGGAACTGAGCCGACAAAGTAGTAGTCGCAGTCTTTTCAGAGGAGAGGAAAGTACACAAAAATCGGTCGTCACTATAGATGGAGGTGCTAGTCCTCTTGCATTATGCATTGAATTTGGAAAGCCCAACCGAAACCGCCATTCTAGAGTAGTGGCCGACACGAGGCAGAGGTCTCCTTAAAATAGAAAAACTGTATTCCAAGAATGCATACAAACGGCACCCATTGGGAATATTACTTAGAAAAGTCATTCCACTCGCCTTATTGAGAACTGACTATTTATTCGCCCCAAAGACAATATGGCACAACAGTGTGCGAGTAAATTCGGGGTGTTCACTGGTCCGTGACAAAATAGATCAAGCGTAAATACATGCTGTAGCAAAGCCAAAGCATAAAACTGAGCTGGTCGAACGTGAGGTATATTTCAATAAACCGCACAAGTATGCAGCAACAACGCGACAAACAGTTTGCATAGATTGATATGAGCCTAATCGTCATCAGGAGCACCAGGCTGCCGAGGCTTTGGACCACCAGCTGGACGAGCCATTATAATCTGGAACAAATATGGGAACACAAGAATAATGACAAAGCAGGCCAATGAGAAATGATACGAATGATGGCAACTTCATTTTTCTGATTTACCGACAGCCCTAACAGCACTGAGTAGGTTATCAATAAAAATGGTGGTTCTGTAGCTCAAGATAGTTCAGTTGTAAAAGCGCGAAGTTACAGACCGGAAGGTTCGTGCCCCAGCGTCCCGACTGTTCCTGTCTAGGCTTGGGCGGTCTGACAGTATCTTAGCTCTTGTGCTTCTTTCGAGTGACACGGCAGCTAGGCACAGAAAGTGTTACAGGTGAACGATTGTTTTAGTTATTTTGCGTTTTATCAGGAGAAGTATATGGCTAATGGATTAGTTAGTAAGTCAAAAACAAACTATTTAGTGATCTGTAAAAAGATTACGGGAAAAACTACTCATCTGTGCGTTACATCAATCAAGCTGGATATCGTAGACATACGAGGTCCCACGACAGAAAACTGCTTTCTTTCAGGATGTCTAACATCATGGACAGCAAGACATCAGTAGTCAACACTGATGCTTCGCTACCGTACAACCATGATCTACTTGAAAGTCTTCTTGTGAAGAAAAGAATAAAGGTGGACAGGGAAGGGAGTTAGTGCTACCTTACTACAATCATTCCGAGGTACCTACATCTCCAAACACCTATTCAGGCAATCTATATAGAGACATGAATTTAGCTACACTTAATCGAAGTAAACTACCAAAGGGCTAGATAACAAGGACGAATTAAGAAATCTCCTAGTAAGACTACATGGCCCGAACGCTCCTGATTTGAGTGTTGTGTGACCCAAAGTGTGTTGTGACCAAAACTCCTGTCTAACAAATTCTAGGCTGTGAAGACCAAACATGAAGCAAGAAAAGGAGCTAAAAAGTGACCACTGCTAACAGCGAAACGAGTTTTTTGAGCTGGCCAAATCTGCGAAAAAACTTCAAAAGGAAAAGGCGCAAAGACGTTAAGACTGTGATAAAACATTACCTGGTGAGTTAGTGCACCTTACTACAATCATTCCGAGGTACCTACATCTCCAAACACCTATTCAGGCAATCTATATAGAGACATGAATTTAGCTACACTTAATCGAAGTAAACTACCAAAGGGCTAGATAACAAGGACGAATTAAGAAATTTCCTAGTAAGACTACATGGCCCGAACGCTCCTGATTTGAGTGTTGTGTGACCCAAAGTGTGTTGTGACCAAAACTCCTGTCTAACAAATTCTAGGCTGTGAAGACCAAACATGAAGCAAGAAAAGGAGCTAATAAGTGACCACTGCTAACAGCAAAACGAGTTTTTTGAGCTGGCCAAATCTGCGAAAAAACTTCAAAAGGAAAAGGCGCAAAGACGTTAAGACTGTGATAAAACATTACCTGGTCAACACGTAGTACCGTGCACGCGGCATCCGTGGCAAACCGAATAGCCCAGCGCTTCAGTAAATGCGTATCAAGTATCGAGAACTTGACAGAATCGCCCACCTCCACTTCACCTCCAGGTTTGGTAACCAGACCAGTGTGATGTTGTCCAGACTCGTGCTTGGCGTATAACATCGCAATGATTTCAGTAGCCTCGAAGAAGATAAATTGAAAACACAAGCGCGTTTGACTAATTTGATCAAGATCAAAGAATTCCATACAAACTAGAGTGTACGCTGACTTAACAGTGCGTGTCTCGAGGAGTCACGAACAAGTTTAGTTGATTAAATTTGCTGACTTCATTCCCTGTACCATCGATCATCCGAATCAGTGGAATCAAACCTGCGCTAAAGCAACAAAAATGTCGCGGCTACTTTAACTTCAAGAACGGAGATGTATTGTGAGACATGCCTCGTGCTGCTGTGGCTTTAAAATTCGCATAAGCGTTACAACCAAGGTGGGTGAAATTGTGGGGCAGCAGAGTACTACTCATGTATTGACTCACCAAAAACCAAAGTACAAAGATTAGTGCTTTTCCATTCGGTTGTTACAGTCTAATTCTTCAGAGTAACCTCATTTATCAGTACGATGGGAATGTCGTATACAGTTCCAGGAAATTTTTGGAAGAGTACTTAATTCCTCTTAAATTGCGGTCCGATCACCGAAGCTCCATCGGTTACGATACCTCTTGAATGGAATGTAGCTACCAAAAGAGGGGAACCGGAAAAGGGATTTTTGTGAGTTCTTAATGAGTGGGTAGTGAGTCAATAACATTGTGGAAGACGACAGCAAAACCCAGTAGGCTTTGCTCAATTGGATACTAAGTATGTCCCAAATTCTCACCTTTTCCCCAGCGTTTTCAGCCAGAGTCCTCACGGCGACTTCGAAGGCGCGGGCAAACTCTCGGACGGCATATTGTTCCAGACCAGTCAGCGTGTCAGCATACGACAACAGACGGCGGGCAAGTTCGATCTCCGTAGCACCTGCACCGGCAACCACCTTAGGAGATCGTGTCAGGCATTTGAAAGTATTAACACCATCGTCAATAGCGCGCTCTACGTCGTCCATTATGTTGTCTGTACTGCCGCGGACCAGGATGGTGACAACCGAACCTTCGTGAACATCTACAAGTGAAAAGCCGTAACCGAGGTCAAAAACTTATCTTCCGGAGACAAAACGAGGCCTGAACGAGTCTGTGGAGTTTCGACTAAAACTGGTACATAAATCAACCATTTCCGACATCAAAATCAGTGCTTTGGCGGTTAATTCCACCCAAAGAATGAATCTGAAATGTTAGTAATACTGAGCGAAGTTGGAAAACATGCAGACTTGCCTTGCGGACTTTTGACCAGCGGGTGCTTTAAATAATAAAAATCAGAGGCCCGGTATCAAATTTTTTGATCGCCGGAGATAAGGTACCTCCGTACGACGTTTTACCCAAACAACAGAAAAATGAGGAAATGTCCGCAACCCAACAAGCCCTTGAAGAAACATACTGCGCTCGAGGTTGACAAAAAAAGTTTTATAAGCATCTGCGACCAGCTTCTGGCACGCCCAAATGAATCAGTACATGACATATTTCCGTCACAGTCGCAATTACAATCATGGGAGTACTCACTGCACAGCTGCCGACCAACTAATAATAATAATAATAATGATCGTTCAGCTGTCACACCCTTTCGACGCCTAGCTGTCATGCCACCCGAAGGAAGCACGAGGGCTGGGATACGGCCAGATTTCCCAAGCCTAAACAGGGAAAGTCGAGGCAAATTCGGATTCGAACCGCGGACCCTCCGGTCAGTAAATTCGCACTCTAACTACTGAGCCATCTCGCCCCCGTCGACCGACTACGTCTGGAATGATGCAGACAACCTGTGATACTTACGATGTTGCCAACCGAATTAGGCGTGGAGAGCTTCTCCATATCCTCATCACATCTATGCAATTGACCAGTGTGCTCACAAGTCTTCCAAAACTCATATTTATTACGAAGGCTTCGTGAAGCACCAGCGACACGAAATCCATGTCTGGCGAGTAAGGATGTCCATTCCGAAGAATTTAATTATGGAGGGATGCCTACTTATGAGTAGTCAATCAAAATCCTACTTCAGCACCTACTGGTTCCGATGCAGTCCGTATAAAATAACAAGACTTTATCAAAGGTAGCAGCAGTAACGTCAGGAATCGCAGCTATGCGTGGGAAATGGACAGATCCAGGATTTCAATGCCTGAGGTGCTGAAGCCAGAATAATCGGGATTACAGCGACCTTAGCGAATGGAAGAACCCAAAACTACTCTGGCCTTACGTTAGCAAATTTGACAAACGACAGTGTATGTAGCGGATCACTGGAAAGGAGTTCGGGTTTTTTCTCTGACAGGAAGCACCATTCATAAGGCTGCAGAAAATTACTAGTTGTCCACTGATATGGATACATCAAGGTTGCTCAAAGACATTCTACCTGCTTACCAGTCTTAGCGCCGTCGGTCAGCCAAACCACCTGTTCGACTATGGATGCAATTTAAAGCCAAAACAGTAGTCATAGCAATCTAGATTCACGTAGCGACTTTCCGGTATCCACACTACGCAGCTCATTGTGTAAACCATATTCACTCAGTACATGATCAACGAATCAACAAAAGTCACGCCGCTGTCTGAATGACAGCTGGTATATGCTTAGCAACACCACAAATCTGAGGAAAACTTTCCGCAATAGAGAATATCATTCTTCCAAGTACCCCAAACCATTGCGTATGGAGAAGCGTTACTCTGACAGAACAGGCATATACTGTAGAGGACATACAGACGGGCGTGCGGATGAATAAGATGTCAGCAGTAGCTTGTAGCTAACAGAGCATTCCAGAACCGTCAAAAAGTCAGAACTTCCACATACCATAAGGAATCCGTGACACGAAAATGCCGTACATTACTCACGAACATCAGCTATAAACCAGTTACAGGTGTAAATTAACTCCATGACTATAAACGGGTGTTCAAAGTTCCGCATGCAAAATACAAATGTGAGCATGCTAAAACACACCGTAAAAGGAAGAAAACTAGATGGTAAAACAGATCTCACCTTGTTCGAAAATCACAACGCTTGCATCCGCGATTTCGTCTGTACGAACGTGAGTAACATGCCCTACCTCTTCGGCCGTTGGGGCTGTCAAACGCGGAAGTGCGACTGCTCCGGTTGCTTGGCACAAGCGGCGGATGTCAAATTTACTGCTCAATCGGACAAGCATAATACCCAGTTTGTTCGCGTAATGTAATGCAAGTTCACCTATCTTCCCCCCGCTGACAACAACTTTGACACCAGCATCAGCTATCGCTTGCATGTGCTGAAGATAATCCAAAAATCAAAGCCATAATAGGAGTAAAAAACACTGAACAAATGACAGTAAACAGAGCGGAGTCTTCAGATGAATTTACTTTCCACAAACTTACAACGAACCATCCAACAATCCACTTTGACTGGACCGTGTTTTATTAGGTTTTCAAGACCATGATACTTAACTACAACACCAATGCTTCCCAGACATTCTGGACGGAATAAGAAACATCGTGTTGGTTGGATCGTACCCGGCGTAAACGTCCAGAATGCAAATCCTTGAAGTGGTTTTGAACAATATCCATTCGTTGCGAGTAAAAATCGCACGTTTTCGTCCGGTAGGTATAAGAGAACTAATGGAGTCGTAATGCTCCACTCAGCTGGAGGACAATGATGTGTTTCGTGTTCACCGTCCTGTTGGCTTTCACAATACAAGTGACGTCGTCACACATGTAAAGAGGTTGGTGTTGTTCTACACATATCCAACGTAATATGCCAGAATTTAACCAATCAATGGGATCAATTATTTAATTACCAATAAAGTGCTGTGCAAATCCACATTACAGCGAATTTTTCTGACTCTTTCCGCAAACATTACTATTTATTTCTGCGTATTTGTACCCGAAATCATGTCCGACAGAGAACCCCAGAGATAGTGTACGGAATACTTTACTTCAGGAATTTTAGGGATGATTGTTTCTGATGTTTTCACAGGGGAAGCATTTGAAGGTTTCCGTGTTTTATCTAGGCGAAACACACTACTCATAAGGTTGCTGAAAATTCGTGAACAGTCCAATACCGGATTCACCATTCTTGGGACTCACCGCGTACATAATATCCACGAGTTTCCGTCGGCCTCTTGTTCACAATTCGCGAAATAAGAGACCGTCGGAATACACACAGAGACGCCAATTACTGTTACGAAAGGCTGAGTGATGAACAGACCACTAAGAGAGGTCGTGTTTGTCATTTGAACATAGCCAGATACAGTGAGGCTCGCGGAAAATGAGATAAAGATAACTGGCATTGTCGAGGTTTTCCGTTCAGTAAGACAAAAATGAGTAAAAAAAGCTCTGGTTGTAGAGGCAGGCCTAAACGATACGAAAAACCACAGGCACCAAATATATGTACCAAGTATGACTGAGATAGGAAAATGCTTTATTGAAAACCGGACAGTTAAATGAAGATCCAGACAAGTTCAGACTCGGATTTATGATGAACTTCTTAGGCTACATGAAAGTAAAAATAAGCCGATAAAACCAGTTAAATCAGTTTAAAAAGAGCATGACAGACCACCTCAGGATTAACGTTGCAGTACCTGAAACGAATGATTAGTCCAAGAGGCCTCATCGACAACTGTATTTCATTTTCTTGAAATCGTTCTTGCCTAATATGTACAATTCCTCATCCATATACAGAACTAAAACACACCTTGTCAGGCTTTAAGGCGGACTTATAAAATAACCGTACCTACTTCCTGGGGGACAAGCGACATTCAACTTTCGCATGTGAATAATCGGCACTCAAATTTTCGCGAACAGCTTCGCCGCAACTCATTCCTATATAAAGCGCATTCCCTTCAACCTTTAAGTGAGTAAAGAACTTTAGAATTTATCAAAGCACGCCAAAATCGAGAAGCAAAATTAATGGAAGTCACAAAATTCCGCATCACAGACGACATTCAAGACAGATACTCACCTTTTCCATAAGATTTTCTTCACCTTTGCTGAACTGAGTAAGTTCGTCAGCCGAAGTTAGGAGTACAGTGCCTTTCGTCTCGGTGTGAAGTGCATCAACCGGACACGAGAATACGGCTATTTTGCAGTCACGAACTTCCTTGATCTCACCCTCAGCTTCCCTTCTGAACACCATACCTCGAAGAATTTGAGAGCTGGTAACACCGGAACCCTAGAGATGAAATCAATTTGAATGAATAATGAGGCGACAGTCCAATACCGGATTCACCATTCTTGGGACTCACCGCGTACATAATATCCACGAGTTTCCGTCGGCCTCTTGTTCACAATTCGCGAAATAAGAGACCGTCGGAATACACACAGAGACGCCAATTACTGTTACGAAAGGCTGAGTGATGAACAGACCACTAAGAGAGGTCGTGTTTGTCATTTGAACATAGCCAGATACAGTGAGGCTCGCGGAAAATGAGATAAAGATAACTGGCATTGTCGAGGTTTTCCGTTCAGTAAGACAAAAATGAGTAAAAAAAGCTCTGGTTGTAGAGGCAGGCCTAAACGATACGAAAAACCACAGGCACCAAATATATGTACCAAGTATGACTGAGATAGGAAAATGCTTTATTGAAAACCGGACAGTTAAATGAAGATCCAGACAAGTTCAGACTCGGATTTATGATGAACTTCTTAGGCTACATGAAAGTAAAAATAAGCCGATAAAACCAGTTAAATCAGTTTAAAAAGAGCATGACAGACCACCTCAGGATTAACGTTGCAGTACCTGAAACGAATGATTAGTCCAAGAGGCCTCATCGACAACTGTATTTCATTTTCTTGAAATCGTTCTTGCCTAATATGTACAATTCCTCATCCATATACAGAACTAAAACACACCTTGTCAGGCTTTAAGGCGGACTTATAAAATAACCGTACCTACTTCCTGGGGGACAAGCGACATTCAACTTTCGCATGTGAATAATCGGCACTCAAATTTTCGCGAACAGCTTCGCCGCAACTCATTCCTATATAAAGCGCATTCCCTTCAACCTTTAAGTGAGTAAAGAACTTTAGAATTTATCAAAGCACGCCAAAATCGAGAAGCAAAATTAATGGAAGTCACAAAATTCCGCATCACAGACGACATTCAAGACAGATACTCACCTTTTCCATAAGATTTTCTTCACCTTTGCTGAACTGAGTAAGTTCGTCAGCCGAAGTTAGGAGTACAGTGCCTTTCGTCTCGGTGTGAAGTGCATCAACCGGACACGAGAATACGGCTATTTTGCAGTCACGAACTTCCTTGATCTCACCCTCAGCTTCCCTTCTGAACACCATACCTCGAAGAATTTGAGAGCTGGTAACACCGGAACCCTAGAGATGAAATCAATTTGAATGAATAATGAGGCGAGTGGCACATATGCAAACAGCGGAAGTCACCCAACAACAAACGACGCAACAGTAATAAAAGTTCATGCATCTACTCAACAACTAATAGTTTCACTCACAACCGATATTCGTAAATCACCGAGTCACAATATCAGTGAATTTTAAACATTTTTGCCCACAGTACGGAGACCATCGTGATGAGATTGTACCTTACAGTGGTGTGATGGTTTGTACACCTCCGTGGTCCACCGAGCTATATTGGAGGTTGTCCATGTGACAGTCGTAGTCTTTCATAACAGGCTGGTCAATGGATGGGAGCCAGGTTAACATTGTCTTCCTCTACGTTGGGGGTGGGAATGTGGCGAAGTGTTCCTTAAAAGTTACGCTGGTAGTCCTAAGCCAATCACCGTCAATTGTTGTCAATTTTTTGAGGCATGGGTTTTGGGTGAGAGCTGTGATTATCCCTTGTCTATGTTTCGGTCTCAGCCTATATACAACTATGGATCATACGAATACGAGTAACTTCATGCCATATCGGCACTCTCATGGCACCACGCAGCCACATTGGTTGCACGAAGCAAGGCACAAAGCACAAAGCAGGTGATTGACGACACTTCCCACCATGCTTCGCTATTCTCTCAACCCCCTCCCTACCTCATTTAATCATCACGCTTCTGCAAATCTTAGCCATAGGGATGTCATTCTTACATCCAAGTGGCTAATAGTGTGACACTGCTTATGTCTGCCGCTTGGCGTTCACATTTCAGACCTCGCCCTCCTATTTTTACCACGGCTTTCAATGTGGAGACTCTGAATAGAGTCGATCATCTAATGCGGAATAGAGTTCACGGCACCTTCGTTATCTAGGGGCTATAGTTGATAAGCTTTAGGTGATTCTGCATCTTTTGCGGCGGGTTACATCGGCGTTGGTACAGATTCCAGCTCCTGAGTTGGGATTTTCCTACTCGATTGAATCCCCGTAAAAAACCACTGTGTTAGCGAAATAAACTCATTTGCGAACGAATTTGGTTTCGCGGAAGACTCACCTGGAACCCAGCTAAATCCCTCGGTTGTGATAGTTCCAAGCAACCGAATGTGCTGCACCAGGCCGCCTCAGGTCTCAGTCGCTACGATATTCGAGATATCGCTTACATGTATATTCGTCATGCACTACTCATAAGGTTGCTGAAAATTCTTCGACAGCCCACGACCGGTTTCACTCTCCTTGAGGCTCATCAGGTAGGTGCAGTCCCCGAGTTTCCGTCAACCTTATGTTCAACTTACGCTCCTTGTGCTGCATAGGAGACTCGCTGGTTTCCGATAAAAAGTATCTGCTACCGCATCAAAATTACAGTTGTCTGAAGATCGAGTAATATTTCACAGGTTGCCGAATTTTCGCAACGCAGTGGTTTCGTAATGCACTGCTCATAAGGTTGTTGAAAATTCTTCGACAGCCCACGACCGGTTTCACTCTCCTTAAGGCTCATCAGGTAGGTGCAGTCCCCGAGTTTCCGTCAACCTTATGTTCAACTTACGCTCCTTGTGCTGCATAGGAGACTCGCTGGTTTCCGATAAAAAGTATCTGCTACCGCATCAAAATTACAGTTGTCTGAAGATCGAGTAATATTTCACAGGTTGCCGAATTTTCGCAACGCAGTGGTTTCGTAATGCACTGCTCATAAGGTTGTTGAAAATTCTTCGACAGCCCACGACCGGTTTCGTCCTTCTTGGGGCTCATCAGGTAGTCTCCGAGTTTCCGTCAACCTTATGTTCTACTTGAAACCGAACTGCACGAAATTAGCGAAATACACTCATTATCAAACAAATTTAGTTTTGCGAGAGACTCATCTGCAATCCAGCTGAATCGCTCGTTTATGATGTATTACGCCTGTACATGTATTGCGATATCTCGAATATTGCACCAACCGTAACACGATGCGGTCTGGTGCGGCGTACTCACTTGCTTAGAAACATCATAAACAAGATATTCAGTTGGGTTCTAAGTGAGCCTCCCGCAAAACTAAATTTGTTTGCTAATTTCGTGCAATTTGGCTTCAAGTAGAATATGAGGTTGACGGAAACTCGGGGACTGCAACTACCTGATGAGCTACAAGAAGGGCGAACCCGGTCGTGGTCTGTCGAAGAGTTTTCAGCAACCTTTTGAGGTATTACGAAACCACTAAAATGCGAAGCTTCGGTAATCTGCGAATCTTTATTCGGTCTTCAGTTGTAGTTTATTTTTACGTATCAGACAACCGCAGTTTTGATACGGTAAAAGATACTTTTTATCGGAAACCACCGACTCTCCTATGCAGGCGGAAGGAGCAAAATTATTGTCCTGGTCACCGGCTATTTGATTGCATAAGCAGAATGTTTCAGTTCACCAGAGGTGCGACTTGACTTGAACTTAGAACGCAATGATAATGGCGATCAACCTTTGCAGCTTTGTACTAATCACCAACCGTTCGTCAGTGGTCTGGGTTCCAAGTCAGCATATACCGTTGAGCTAACTAGAGTCTTTTTAGTGACAGAAAACTTACTCGTTGGCAGTCCGTGATGAAGCGTCATTCACATAGATTCAAATCACTCTCTCATCCGGTGTACATTTTCGAAAACTTCAGTAAAACTTAAGAAACTCCTCGTTTAGTCATCAGAAAACCTTCCGATCCATAGGCTTAAACAGCCATATCCTCAAAATACAACAGTTGTAGATAGGGCGAGATAAAATACCACCATTTATGCAGTAGGGAATTCGGCCTAACAAATTAGCGCTAGATTTAAGGACGGTCACCGTCGATCATTGATGCGAGAGGACGTATCCCCTCGGACTCTGAGCACAATACAACCAAGAAGGCTGTTAGCAGTTTGTTAAAGAACGGTCTGGATATGGAGAGAGCGCCCTGGTGGAATAGGACACTGGAAAATGGAAGGACAAGTGGGAAGTTCCGAGAACTTTTCCACCTGATACACAAAACGGGACCAGGAAAAGCGGCTGTTGTTGTGGTCGTTAAGGATAATACCGGGGACTCAGTATACAAGAACCAGTATATTTTGGTCAACAGTTTAGTTGATCGTCTGTCCCTGTGACGAAAAAAACCCAATTCAAAGTGGCGGGGGACGTAGCGGTATTTAAAGCACATTTTCGATATTGAATCATCACGTTGGTGTTGGTTGATTGGTCCACATTACTTCTAGGACACGCTTGAACATTCGACAATAATCGGAATTCGCTTACTGGTTGCATGAACGTCCTGTCGGCAGCTGGATCTCCAGGCCAGGAGGCTCAGCGGTCTTCCTGAAGCGATTTTGGCGGTTCCCAGAAAGTTTCCGACATTTGGGAATCGTACTCAGGAATGTGACCTTTCTGACGAAGTCTTACAGACCATGCAATGTAACTGGTCTCAGCAGCGTGCTTGTTGTCCTTTCTTAGCTAACGTCTGTCTGTCACTGTGTGCTGGGGTTCGCAAAGAACGTTGAATACATCCTGCTGATAGTGTCTTGCTCCAAAACGGTGCTTAGATGATTATACCAAAGAGAATTTGCCTATTGGAAACATAAGGTTAGACACCCAGATAAATTTCTTTTATGCAAAAACCCCGCCCCCTGACAAACATGACCGGTGTTCTGAAATAACGGAATAGTTGCTCAAAGCATGGACCACTCCTCAAAGCGCGTTTTTTGCGAAGCGTCAACTTATACACCACTTCCTCCTACCAAAAATCTGATGTGGAACGAATGGCTCTCCAGAAAGACTGAAAGGTTCCACGTCATCCCCAGCATGAGTTAGTTGTCCTTCGAAGCGAAGTAACATGTTTTTTGAAGTTATAATGGAAAAATTTCCCGGAACCGAACTTTTTCAAACTCCTAGTACCCGTATGGACATGCGTCTGACGAATGACCTGAACATTTTTCCAGACGTAAGATCACTGCACTGCTTATTGACCTTCAATCCGGACATAACCCAAGAGTGATCGCTGGAGGGGCATGGGAGAACGTTAGGGAGACGACTAGGGAGAGAGCCGTCACGAAGAGACTGGACCTTACCGTGGTGTGGCGGTTTGTGTACCTTGGCGAACCATTATGCAATACTAATGAGTGTCCACGAGAAATCTACGGAGTCTCTCATACCAGGTTGGTCAATGGGCAGAGGTCTGACGAACACAGTCTCCTGGTCCTCCAGGTTGGGGGTTGGAACACGCGTGGCAACGTGTTCCGTAAAGTGTACTTGGTAACGTACTTGTATTTTCAGCCCAACACTGCTGCCTTTCAGTTAGATTTTCGAGCAAAAGGCTTTGGTAACTGACCCTCATCGTCCCTCTGCCAAGGGTGTGCACGCCCTGAAATTCACAAATAACAAGACTCTCTTGCCACATCGGCTGTCGCGTGGTTGCCTTACTTGTTGCATACAACAGGGCAGGTAAGCGAAAACATGCTACTGCTGACGCCTCCCTTCTTACACTTTCACGTTTCGGTCTTCCGCCCACACCTAAATTTGAATACTTTCTCCGCCGGTCCCAGCTCTAAGACTGACCGTTTTGCTCACCCTGCATCACACTCAGCTGCAGCTTCTGTACGTCCGAGTTGTGGTTGCTGGTGACATAAATGCCCAGGTAGGTAGAATAAGTGCTGATGAGGCCCGATAGGGTGGTCGTTTTGGGTTGGACACGAGACGCACGGACAACAGGGGTCACTTACTGCAGATGTAACAACGATCAGACTTACAGTACAGTACATTACATTACAGTACGAATTTCCGAAATAGCGAAATTGGCTTGATAACGTGATGGTCACCAACGAACCAGCCCCGAATCCAAAAAGACTACATCGCCGTTAGTTAATGGTTGCGAGGGTCGACAACCACTTGCCGATCCTTCTGGAACACCAGCGTGGACTCCGATCATGCACTTGTACACTACTGCTTTTCATTGCGCTTCTCAGGTGTACGCACAACACGCACACTTCGCTTAACCACTGAGAGGCTAGCG